GGCATGCAGAAAATCTAAAAGAGAGATGATATGCAGGGCGTAGGGTGGAAATCTATAGGAGCAATGGTCTGCAGAACGGAGGGTGGAAATCTATAAGAGAGATGGTCTGCAGAGCAAAGGGTAGAAATCTTTAGGGGAGATGGTCTGCAGAGAAGAGGATGGAAATCTTTTGGGGAGATGGTCTGCAGAGCTGAGGATGGAATTCTATAGGTGAGATGGTCTGCAGCACTCAGGATGGAACTCTATAGGTGAAATAGTCTGCAGAGCGAAGGGTGTAAATCTATAAGTGAGATGGTCTGCAGAGCATAGGGTGTAAATCTATAGGGGAGATAGTCTGCAGAGCATAGGGTGGAAATCTATAGGAGAGAAGGTCTGCAAAGCGTAGGGTGGGAACCTATAGGAGAGATGTTCTGCAGAGCTCAGGATAGAACTCTCTAGGAGAGAACGTCTGCTGAGCAGAGGGGGGAAATCTTTAAGGGAGATGATCTGCAGTATTGCGGATGGAAATATATAGGTGAGATAGTCTGCAGAGCTATCTATAGAAGTGATAATATACAAATCTGAGGGTAGACATATTTAGCAGAGATGGTCTGCAGACTTGAGATGGATAAACTCTAGGAGAGACGGTCTGCAGTGCTAAGGACAACAATCTACAAGAGTGTCACCCGGGAGAAGCTATTATGAATGTTTCCTACATCACGGTGGAAAGGGTTAAAGCAAATTGATGAACCGCCTCTGATCCCGGCACAGACAAGGTTCAAATGCCATTCTCCAGGAGGGACATTCATTTTTTGGGGGCATTTGCAACAAAGCTGTGGTGGCGATGCTCTGCAGTGTCGCAGTGCTCTGCAGCGCGCACAGGACAAGCGAGGAGGCACAGTCTACCTGTTGCGGGTGGCCAACGCACAAAATAATGAAAGGTTTGGCACAGGAAGGGGAGGGGGAGCCCTTTGAATGGGGAGGTTAAAAAGGAATAGTCTGCAGAGGGTAGTACAATTAGAATGTGACAGTTCCCAGGGGCGGCGCGCAGCAGTGCGAAGTACCAGAGATAAGCTCTACAAGTGTCAGGAACAAACAGACAGAAGAGCAGGGCCAGGTCTTCAGCAGAAGGACGGTGCGACGCTCTGCAGGTATTGGTCAACAAAGAGAGGCAATAACATCCAATAATAATAATAATAATAATAAACAATAATCCGATTATAGAAAAATCTGAGGACTTACCATGACTCTGAGAGCCGGAGATGGCGAAGATCAGGGAGCGAGGGAATAAAGGGTCAGAGAACTTTCTATGGATAGAAGGAGTTGAAGAATGAACACGGGTGATCAGACAGAACATAGGGAGCAACAAACACAAAGATACCCCGAGACTGGCAGGAAAAGTTCTGTGACGCAGGACAAAGGGAACAAAGACAAAGGATCCGGAAACTTCCATGACTGTTATTGAGAAAACCGACAGAACACGAGGATGAAGGTCCATGACAACGTGACATGACCGAGCGCTAGAGAAAGTTCTATAACTGGGAGAGACACGCAGAATGACAGGACACAGGAGGGATAATAATACCAAAGGCTCCAAAGTGCCGGAGACCGTCCTGAAAATGGTAACAGTGGCCACAGACCATGCAGAAAGTTTCCCGAAAATGACAGCAAACAAAACAGAAAGATGAAGAATGTTCCAGAAATGACAGCGACATCGTGTAAGAAAATACAAAACAGAAAGATGAAGAATGATCAATAGACTACAAGGAGGATTCGGAGGAGAGAGGACACAGAAAGTTCCATGAGTGACAGAGAACATTGTGGAAGTGATACAATGTATCCACAGGAAGTACTGTGCAGGAAAAAACATATAGAATATAGACATAAAACACAAGGGGGAGGGGGGGGGGAGGTGAGGAAGAAAGAGAAGGCAAAAGGCAAGGAAGAAAAAGAGGAGAGGAAAAGAAAACGGGAAGAGGAAAGAGAAGAGGAAAGAAAAGAAGAAAGAAAAGAGGAAAGGGATGAGGAAAGAAAAGAAGAAAGAAAAGAAAGGGAAGAGGAAAGGGAAGAGGAAAGAGAAGAGGAAAAGGAAGAGGAAAGGGAAGAGGAAAGAAAGAGGAAAGAGAAGAGGAAAGGGAAGGGAAGAGTAAAGGGAAGAGGAGAGAAAAGAGGAAAGGGAAGAGGAAAGAAAAGAAGATGGGAAGAGGAAAGGAAAGAGGAAAGAAAAGAGGAAAGGAAAGAGGAAAGGAAAGTGGTAAGAAAAGACGAGAGGGAAGAAGAAAGAAAAGAGGAAAGAAAAGAGGAAAGGGAAGAGGAAAGAAAGGAGGAAAGGAAAGAGGAAAGGAAAGTGGTAAGAAAAGACGAGAGGGAAGAAGAAAGAAAAGAGGAAAGAAAAGAGGAAAGGGAAGAGGAAAGAAAGGAGGAAAGGAAAGAGGAAAGGAAAGTGGTAAGGAAAGAGGAAAGGGAAGAGGAAAGAAAAAAGGAAAGGGAATAGGAAAGAAAAAAAAAAAAAGAAAAGAAGAAAGAAAAGAGGATAAGGGAATAGGAAAGAGAAGAGGAAAGAAGAGAGGAAAGGAAAGTGGTAAGGAAAGAGGAAAGAAAAGAGGAAAGAAAAGAGGAAAGGAAAGTAGTAAGGAAAGAGTAAAGAAAAGAGGAAAGAAAAGAAAGGAAGAAAGAAAAGAGGAAAGGGAAGAGGAAAGAAAGGAAGAAAGAAAAGAGGAAAGGGAAGAGGAAAGGGAAGAGGAAAGAAAAGAGGAAAGGGAAGAGGAAAGAAAGGAGGAAAGGAAAGAGGAAAGGAAAGTGGTAAGGAAAGAGGAAAGAAAAGAGGAAAGAAAAGAGGAAAGGAAAGTAGTAAGGAAAGAGTAAAGAAAAGAGGAAAGAAAAGAAAGGAAGAAAGAAAAGAGGAAAGGGAAGAGGAAAGAAAGGAAGAAAGAAAAGAGGAAAGGGAAGAGGAAAGAAAGGAAGAAAGAAAAGAGGAAAGGGAAGAGGAAAGAAAGGAAGAAAGAAAAGAGGAAAGGGAAGAGGAAAGAAAGGAAGAAAGAAAAGAGGAAAGGGAAGAGGAAAGAAAGGAAGAAAGAAAAGAGGAAAGGGAAGAGGAAAGAAAGGAAGAAAGAAAAGAGGAAAGGGAAGAGGAAAGAAAAGAAGAAAGAAAAGAGGAAAGAAAAGAGGAAAGGGAAAAGAAAAGGAGGGAAAGATGGAACGTAGGAAAGGGAGAGGGGAGGGAAGCAGGATGGATGAGAGGAGTGAAAAGAAAGAGAAGGAAGGATATAGTGAAAGATGAAGACAATGAGACTGAGAGAAACACGGAGAGACATCATCAGGGTGGACAAAGAGAGAGAGAAGAGGAGAAATCAGAGAGGGAAAAGGAAGCAAGATAAAGAAAAAGAGAAAGAAGAGTGAAATAGACAAAAAGGAGATATAAAAGATAAAGAGAGAGAGACAATCCCAGGAACATAAGAGGACGCTGAGACATACACACAGGACAGACAGAAGACAGAGAAAGTTCCATGACTGACAGACAAGCCAGGGGAAGTGTCAGAGGAAAGGGAAGGAAGCCATGGAGGAAGTGAGCCAGGAAGCCGTAGAGGAGAGATGGGTGGCAGAGAGGGGGAGAGGTGTGCAGGGAGAAGGTGGATGTACAGGGCAAGCATGGAAATCTGCAGTACAGATGAAATATGTGACTCATCCACAGGAATAGGGGTGGAGAGAGAAATATCAGAGACTCAGAGAGATGAAAGACACAGACTAGTGGAGGGCAATTCTGGGACACCAGGGACCATGTCACATAGTCCTCACCATGTACTGTATGTGTGTACACAGAGGGGGCCCCCTCCCCAGCAGGTACACGTGTCCTTGCCCTCATCTCTCACCCCTTATTTTATCTGTCACTCTCAGGCCTGCTACACAAAAGGAGACAGACGCAATGCTGGCGTCACCGGCCACATCCGTCCCCTCATCTGCAAATGACAATCAGGGGATGATCGATCCATCTACCCCTCTGTGATCGATCCATCTACCCCTCTGTGATCGATCCATCTACCCATCTATGGTCGATCCATCTAGCCATCTATGATTGATCCATCTACCCCTCTATTATCAATCCATCTATCTACCAATCTATGATTGACCTATCTATGATCGATTTGTCTATCTATCTATCAACAACTGATCAGTCTATACAGTTATCTGTCTCTGTACATACATATCTCTAAATTCTCCATTGATTGTTTCCTCTCCATCATCATCCCAATAATATCTCTTATCTAAGCCATCGACTGACTTACCTGCCACCTGTAACACACACACACACACATATATATATATATATATATATATGTATAATGAACACACACATATATATATATTCAGCACACACACATATATGTATAATGAACACACACATATATGTTTTTTGAGCACACACACATATATGTATAATGAACACACACATAGATGTATATTGAGCACACACACATATATTTATAATGAACACACACATAGATGTATAATGAGCACACACACACACGTATATTGAGCGCACACACAGGGTTAAGCATGGAGGGGACAGGGAGGAGAGGGCTGAGCTCAGCCTATGATGGAGGGAAGTAGACGAGGTGGGCGCCGCAGGGACATCATGGAGGAGATATAAATATTACTATCAGATCTGATCACATCAATATCAGGCCGCCTCATATTTACTAACATCCCCCCTCGTCCCTGCATGCCCCCCTATGGAGGTGATAAACCATCCACATCACATAGCTGCACACACTCTACACCCATCTCACATACATGTCTGGAGCCGCAGCAGCCAATCAGAGGCGCCCTGCAGCCTGGAGTAAATCTGGAAGCTTCATTCATGATTTCTCCTCTCTCATTGACTCATTCATATTTTTTTTCCCTCTTTTCCCCTCTCATTCA